AGATTAGGCTGAAATTGAAATGTGCTCTCCAGTGAGAAGATCTCTGTTGAATGTGTCGCGGTCTGAGACAGCAATCTGACTATTAGCCCCACCTGAGGTCTCTAAGTTGTTGCAAAAGGCTGTAAATGCGATTTACATCTTGCTTTTTGATGATCTATGATATCATCTGGAATTACAGCATTAAACACACGCATCAGTTGCTTGCTTGTATCTCCCAGGACAGATCTGATGCCATTTTGAAAGATTCAAGGCATCAGTAAAATTAAAACAGTGACCAAGCTCCTAGAGGGTTAATAATGACTGCCGTTCTGCATCATCAAACAATACTGTATTACTGCTGTGTTGGAGAGGAGAGGGAATGTCTTGTTCTTGCAAAATGATCTCTTGTACACAACCACTTAATCAATTGACAAATCAATAGCATGCACTAATACCTTTGCCCTATTTGTTATTTCTGTTTGTTCATTACTTCATTACTGAGTCTCACTGACGGGGGGAATGGTTCATATCTCACACTGCGGCATCAACATCTTCTTTTTTTAAAAAAGTGTGAAGCGCAGAAATCCCTGAAGCTGAAAGCACAGAGAGAATGCCAACGTTGTAGAAGGGAAAGCTTGTGAAGAAATGTTCATAATAATTGTGACTTGACCCTTGACTATTATTACGCTCAGGCTGTCGTTCCTATTGTATGTTATATGCGGAAACTATTTCAGGCTGACAGTGATCTAAAAACAGAAATGTGCAGCTGGATTATTTGGCAGTTGGTAATGGTAGTTGTCACACAGCAGACTACACGGTAGTCATAGTTAAGACCGTGACATGTCATGTTGTATATGCTAATATAATGTGAAATCAACAGCATGATTCTGCTGAATGACGATGGTCTGAAGCATATACTCATCAGAGACTCACTTTTTCTTTTTTCACTCGTGTTTAGGTCTAAAAGTCAGTAATTACACTTCATGTAGGGATGAATATGCTGCTCTTGCTCGGTCATAAATACCTGCACTTAGTTCATTTACATATTCTACTGTAAAGTGGTGAAATGTGTGGGAACAATAAGACCTGCAGACTCGTACACTCTTTTGGCATCACTGTCATTTTCAGAAAAGACCAAGTGTCACCAAGGACCAATTACTTCAAAATGCACAGTACTAACCTTTATTTATGTAAGCAGCGCGCTGTAAATGTAAAATAGTACTCCCTTGTACTGACTAAAGATTTTTTTAAAAATAGCAGCGTTGCACCAGCTCAGTGGGAGAAAAGCTATAGAACAGATAAAACAATAAACCTACAGTATAGGATTAATGGCTCCACATAGAGATAGAAGCCAAACTGACTCCTGAAAGAACAATTACTGGATACCCATCGGCAGCTAAGATGTAAATAAGAGTGGGCTGGTGCCTCAGCTGTCAGATACTACACCACAGAGGAAGATCACACTCCAATTTACTGCAAAAATACTAAAGTGTAATCTTAACAATTTATTTAATCTTCCTGAAAGAGTCCTGAAAATCATATTTTTCACACTGAAAATAGAGACTCGGCCATCGTTGTAAAGCATGTCAGCTCATTTGAATTCTCGTCTGGATTCAAGTGACATTAACTGTTCTTTTTTTTTGCCGACGTTCTCTTAGAAGTAAAGCTGCGATTGAAATTTTATGACTTGTGGATTGTAAATTATTACATTTGTAGCCAAACAAGTGAGAAAGAAGAATATTTTTGCTGTACTAATTGAAAGGCTCTGCAAATATTGTGTGGTAGGAGAAGAAAAAAAAGAAAGAAAGAAAAAAATATATTACATTCTTTCTTGCAGGACAGAAAACTTGCAATTGGAGAACAGCCAAAACGACGTGTCATGTATGTTGTACTCTAATTCTAATCGTTTTATATCACTGCTGTTTTCTTGCTTACCACTCGCCTAATTGCAAATGGCACACGCATATGCTCGCGCACAGACCCGTACATATTTGTACAGAAACACAATCACAAACGCGCTGGCTGCTGAGAGAAGATGTTCCCTCCTCATGCTGAGTGGATATGAACCAGAGCTGTTTTAGGATTGCATAAAAAATTCAGGACTCTCTCTTAGCAACATTTGCCCTACATACAGCACACACACATGCTCACACATGCATCACGGCATTATTTATGGTGCACACATGTGAGCAAAAAAAAAAAAAAATGCACATATGGAGTACGCTGTGGTACACTTGAAGATACGTGCCTGACATCGTGTGAACGGCAAGACATCAAAAATAAGGGTTTTATCTAATAAGTAATGATCGACACCATCAGACATGCGGCGCTCATCTATCGAATCCATGCATTAAATATTACGTCGACATTTCTTGATAAACTGGAGAAGCTCTCGCATGTTACTCGTCATCTTCTTTGGATTTGTAAAGCGGATGATGAAATTTTCATCCAGCGACTGTCGCCAACAAGTCAGTTTATCACAAAGTGTGCACGTCTTTCCGCACATGTTATTGTTTAAATGCTGTGCGTGCACTTGTGCATTTGCATCTTCTGCACATCATCCGTGCATTCAAGCAAAGGGACTCGTGTCCTTGAAGAAAACAGACATCTCTGCGCACATCTCCACGACAAGCAGGTCAACACCTCAGCTCACCCATCCATTTTCATTAGTAGTTAATGACAGCAGGGGAGGGGTGGACGGGCCAGAGACAAAGACAGACCGAGAGAGTGAAAGGATATAGTTATGCTCCCTGTGGAAAGACTATCAAACCACTATCTGCTGCCCTCAACCATAAAACTCCCTCTGCTAATATTACATAATCCTTCCACTACTATATACTACTAGCGCACCGTCAGCTATCGAGTAGATGCAGCCAGTTGCTCACTATCAACATTTTTATACGGCGTTGCTATTGTGTATTTATGATTTTGATGTGCAAGAGGTCTCAGCAGCAAAACAGAGCATAAAAGCATGTTTTCCACTTGAGAATTCTGCACATCTTAGTGTGGCCCAGTCAATGTGGGTTGCAACACCTCTGCCAAAGCCATCTCCATCTGAAAAGCATTTGAGGCACCTGCTCATCCTGGCGGTATCCACATGTCTACAGGCGGTGCTCCTCCAACTGCAGTTTGAGTTAAAACCCACTCCAGAAACATGATTTCATCCTTGTTGCCTTCACCAAGTTCTTTCATTCTGCAGCGTATCTAGGTCAGCCAGTGTACAGAGCCAAGCTGTGGCCATGTGTGGTCAAGTGCTAAGAAGTGAGGAACGTCTATGACTAAGATATTAATGTGCTCGAACATTTAAGGAGCAGATTAATGTGAGTCTAAAATCCTTCTTTCCCTTCCTATTATGAAGAAATAAAAATAAAAATAAAGCAATGACATTTGGTTTGCTGATGGTAAAAGCTGCAAAGTAAACACAGAGGCTTTGCTTATTTGCATACTTGGTTACAGATCCTTCATAGTATAATTGAAAGAGCAGTACTTTGAGATCAATAGCAGGAGAACGGAAGAGACATCGCATGTAATTGAATAGCTAGAAAGACCTCAAGTCAATATTTGATGCACTTATACAGGATGCAACCAGTTTTCCATGGTTTTGCATATTTTGATAGTGTAGCGCGTCAAAATGAAATTCAATAACCAACTTCCTTCACTGTCTCCACAAATAAAGCCGAGCAAATTAGTTGAATAACTCCTTCTCTTGAATTACCCTCAATATTTGACCAACTTTAATGAACAATCTAATTCCCAGAGTCTGTCACGTTGCTTTGGGAAGATCCTAAAAAAAATTGTGACTCATGAAATAGCAAGCGCTCCTTCTCTGCTACAAATATCACCACACTTGCAGCAAGTCTTGTCCCACACTGGCAGTAATATTGCCGAACACGCTGTGAGCGCTATAAAAGACCGTCAATCTATGATATCATGCTAAGCGTATCCTCTTCCTGGTGTGCAGAAGCTGTCGCTGATAGAATAGGAGCGTTTGCTGATGGGTGAAGAGAATGAAATGAAGATATTCGCTCAATGCTTGACTCATCCACAAGTAAGATAAGAATATGATCACTTCATTGGTCTATCTGAGGGTGAAGTGAAATAACCAGTGACATGTTTATGTACACACAACCATTGTTGATGTTTAATAAATTTGCAGATCACTACAAGCTAGAATCCAGCTGCACTTATTGAACGTTGGCTTTTGTTTGCTTGACACTCAAACAGATCAGAAAAAAAAAAAATCCAAACTGTTAGACAAACAGCAGTGCCACCAGGGAGCAGAATCCTCTCCTAGCAAAAGCAATTTTCTAAATGGCTTATTTGTGGGTTTATCTTAAATTTAGCTTTACTGTTGTTTGTCCCAAGAGATGAAAAGGTTGCAATTAAATCAATACACACAAGGCACAGTGAACATAACTTTGCATGATTTTAAACTATGCGAGTTAAAGTTTCTGGAAGAAACTATAATTGGATCCCAAGTCTCAAAGTAAATAAATATTATCTTCCTGGCACATCATTATTTCATTAATCTGTTTAATATTAGAGCAGGACTGGATTAAGGTGCCTCAGCAGTGGGCCATTTCACTCCCTACCCTTTTCCTAATTCTCTTATGCAGAAATACACTGCTAACAGCGCAATGAACAACGGTTTAAAAACCATCCCCCAACATGTTAGCAATAAAAGCTGATGGTTAAACTGGGAAATGTGTGCATGCATGTCAGGGTGTGACACTGAGAGTGGGTGTGTATATGTATGTGTGTGTGTGCACATGTTTAAGCATTCTACATTGCATGTCATGTATGTTGCAAGAGAGAAAAATTGCATGTTCTCTGCATGCTCTCATCAAGTCAATGTAGCATTACAACCCTAAATCAAGCATGGCGCAAGAACACTGTCTTGCCATTAGTATTAGCAATTTCCATCGCACAGCTCATCGTCAAGTGAATTGATGCAAGAGCGGCACACACACTCACTCCAACACACACACACACACACAGACTAAAAATAGCATCTGCCTTACCTTTCTGTACACTATCATGTTGGGGGACTCATCCGCTACCCCATTGGTGCCCTGCCCACTGCTGTTGGTCTGTGCCATGATCCAGTGAGTAAATCTGCCACAGGAAATGTCAGGTGCTCCTGTTGTGGACAGAATGGATATTTTGGTCCGTCAGAAGAACAATAAAGCCCAAATGTTACCTTCGCCAACAATTTGCGATCTGCGTGCATCATGTTTTTGGCATATTTGACATTTCTAACAGAGCAGATGTGCAGATGAGCTCCAGCCACACTTGTTCACATTTCACAAGGTCTTGACAAGGGCATTTTTTTTAAAAAGAAAGAAAGGGAGTTGATTTTGCACAAGGTAGAGGTTGCTCCTTTGATGCAAATTAGCAGTGAATGGGGCAAAAGTTCAACTTGAAAAACAGTGATAGGTACCTTGACTCTGCTGTCACTCTCATGTTTCTTCATTGTGCATCAGTGTCTGAATCAACCTTGTTTACATCGGTGGGTTCTAGACACACTACACACCTGCTATGGATGCATCCTGAGATTTGCAATAGACCCTGACAGCCGGTGAATGCAGTATTTAAAAAAAATATAACAACACAACGTCCAAGCAGGTTCTCTACAATGCAGCTTGGATACATCCACTCGGGCAATGAGCAGCCATGGTGAGAAAATGTGCAAGACTGTGCAAATGTAATCGCATGCAGTTTCATCTTTCCTCCGTACGACACCCACACGACATCCTTGGGAGGTTTTTTTTTTTTTTTTTAGTCTGCAACACTAAATAGCTTATAGCATTCAAACAGCGAAGTCATGTAACCTGCTCTTAACATGAGGCCGTTCGCTCTACTACACTGTGTTTTTCTCACCACAGAGCCACTGCCCGTTTCAGCACCTTGGACAGCTACCGCAAAAAAAAAAAAAAACGTCAGTTCTCGTCTTTTTCTGCCTCCTCTTTCAATCACGCGTAAATACACAGAAAACACAGCGACATCGGTCACCGGAGGAGAAGGAGGAGAAGGAGGGGAAGGGAAGGAAGGGGGGTGGTGGTGGTGGTTGCTTACCTGAAAAAACACGCAGCCCGCTATAGGACTCCTGAATCCTCGCAGGGGTGGAAAGCCTGGTCCGTCGCTGTTCGGTATGTCAACTGGCAGACATAGGAATGCGAGGGGTATTCATTGGCAGCGGGAGGAGGCAGACATTCGGCGGACACTTGGTTGTTGCACGGCTCTCTCTCCGTCTCAGTCTCTCCTCTCCGCTTTCTCCAAACGATGCTCAGAAGCACGGGCGCGCCACCTCGGAGCCACCGTGAGCGCGCATCGATCTGTGACCAATCGCGTGTGAGGAATAAATTACAACCCGTTTTGGAGACATACTGCTATTTTTCCTGCTCAAATTGCACCGCTATGCACTGCGGTGATATTGCTCGATCTGAAAGCTGGGTCAAGATAGAATAGATCTGCAGAATAGGCGTATTTTTTTTAACAATTGCCATCTTCTCCAAAGGTCAACAAGGGACACAAAAGCATGGGTTTTATTGTCCATTTGTGTGTGTGTGTGCGAGGAAAAGAAATTCTCTTGTAGCTGTTGTCGCAGTTGGACGTGATGGGATAGTCTTTGGGCTTAATTTAGCAAAAGTTCAAGAATTCAGTATATTAGAAAATAAATGTACTCATGTGGGTCCACCTACATGCATGATGCATCACTGTGCACTAAATAAAACCCTTAAATATCACATTTCTATACATATCAACAATCCAATCGTATGTGATGATTTAACCCTGAGCTTTTATACTTATAGTCTTTAAAAGCAAAGAATAGAGGCTAACATCCTCCGTGATGTTGTTTTCATGTAAGCAACATGGCTTCTGTTTGACCTAAAACAACATCATTCACAATCAGTTGGTATAATTACCATGGGACAGCTTTTTTTTTGAAAATGTGGTTAACTCTCATAATTAAATGTTAAATATGAAAATGCATGCAGTCAAAAAAAAAAATCAATAAGAAATTGCTTATCAAACACAAAACAGATCTTGTCAAAACATTTCCTTTTGTATGGTAAATTAACAATGAAAGAACATCAAGGCCAAAGTGATGCATTATTGAGTGATCACTGAACAGAAATATAATCCCAAAGAAACTGACTTATTTCATTTAGCTGATGAATGGCAGTAAAAATAAAAAAAAGTTTTTTTAACTTCATAATCAAATAAGATTTTCAGCTATTTCACTCGAAATCTATAGTTTTCCCCAATCTGTGTCCAACACTGACAGCAAATGTAAGAAAATGATGTAAATAAGCAATGAACTTCTGTGGCTCAGTGCACCGAATGCTGTTCAGATAAATGAATAAATAAGTACAAAATCTCTCAATTTGCTCCGGTCCGTGGCTCTGAGGTACGGAACAGTTCAGGCCTGAAAGATGGCAGATGTGCCCCTTCTCCCTATGTACTGTAGTATCTGTCTTCTGTGCTCCCTTCCCCTTTGCTGTCTCAGGACTCCGGCTGTCTACAAGGTTGGCCAAACATGCAGTCCAGCCGCTGTTTCCCTGTGAGCCACAGAATAACCATTGTGGATGTGCTGCCATAACAACTTTGTAAAGATAACGCGTTACTAAGCCAAACAGAAATGGATGTTTCGACCTCGGGTGATATTGAGTCAGCTGACGTCCGTATTTCATCTTATCGTTGCATTACTTTCTTTGTGCCCTTATCATCTGTTTGTGCACTATAGATTTTTTTTTTTTTTTAAGACCGTGCTGCAAATGGGTCACTCATATCAGTCGGCTGTCCAGTTTCCATTAATTCTTCCTAAAAAGCACGGACTCTGTCTGTTTTCATGATAAATATACACTTTGAGAAGTTCCAGTACATTCTATTCGGCTTAACAGCTGGGTCATAAAAGTAAAACAAGTTTTTCATTATAATTTCAATTACAACTTGACTGGTTTAAGACTGATAAAGGAACTAAATGAAAATTGTCTTTTGAGCGATTCAGGAAAAATACTAGGCTGTGCTTCAGGAAACTAATGCAGCCTTTGATACAAATGACCATAAAATAGTTCTGACAGGCTGGAATAAGATGTATGGCTGTCTGCTGTAATCTTCATTTGGTGTGGGTTGTACAGAGGACAGGGCATTGGCGTTTGCTCGTAATGAAACTGAGCAAATCCTATCACACCCAGATTTACCCACTGTTCAGTACTTGGGCCTCTATTTTTAAACCCTTTATATGCTACTTTCAGGCCTGTTCTTTTAATCCTCCAAATTACCCCTAATCTCACTTCATGCATGTAACTTGAATATAGGACTTAAATCAGAGTTGGAAGTGTTGTTGTTATAAGGCACTTACATGAAGGCAATAGTTGCATCACCTTTTTATCATCCACAAATAGCAACAACTACAACTTTCATGTCTACAGAAGAGCTACAGAAACTCATTCATGCCTTCATCTCAGCAGGGTGCATATAACAACGGTCCCTTCTTTGCTTCTCCCAACAGAGCACCAGACCTCGGCAGACCCATTCAGGATGCTGCTGCTGCTGCAAGAACAATTCTTACATCTTTACACTGGCCTCCAGTTAGTTATAGAACAGATATCAAAGTGGTGATATTAGCTTATAAATCACTCAGTGGCTTACAGCCAAAATACATCTTTGATATGCTCAACAAAAATATAAACCCCTTTAGATCTTTAGGAAGCAGTCAGCAAGGAGTGCCTGGAGTCAAAAGTAAACACCACGCTGGATTTAGATAATGTGCTGAACACGGAATGAACCAGCTCCCTGAGTGTCCTAAATGCACCCCAACTTTAGCTGCTTCCAAATTACAGGCTCTAATCTCTTGGGCCTTTGATTGATTATATTCTCTGCAGCACTTTTATTTACTCGATTAAATTTGATCCCATTTATTGCTCTCCTGTCTCTTGCTGTAATATACAGTAGCTCACCTTTTTTTATGAACATTAACTTTTCTAATACATTAAATCAATAATTTTGTTCTTTTGACATCATGTTTTAGGTGTTATTTTAGCCTTTGTGTTGGAAAGGTATAATCATAATTTTAAAAAACAACAACTTACCATGCCCTGTTTTTAGTAAGTCACGAACCTGATCATGCCGTCCAACAATCCTGTGTTAATCAATGCAACCTTAACATTTTATTGTACAGTTTTAAACACAAGGATGTCAGATATGAACATATCATTAGTGAATATTACATAGTCAGATATGCCCGTTTCAAACACCATGTTTTCTTCAAAGGTCAGACCTCATTCATAGTAGTGGGATTAGAGCAGCTCACAGCATAGATCATTACTGTCTCTAATGCTGAAAATGCAATGAATAGAGGGTCATGGGCGAGTTAATATCCAACCAATTCTGTCAAATTCAACTGTGAACTGCATATAAAAGATAATGCACAGCTGTAAAATGCTACTGAATGGTGGGTAAATTGCTCTGGAAGTATCATACACTACACTAAGAAATAGAAAGCTTGGGTTGTATGCACATATATTTAAAGGATGCAAAAAGGTGGCAGGTCAAAATAAAATAACTGAACATAATCCTTGTTTTCTTACTGTAGCCTCCTTTTTAAAACCATATGTATAAACCTTACAATTCACAAAATTCGTCACATGATGAGCTGTGCCCAGATTTTAGGATGAACGGTCCCTTTAAGTGGCTTAACAGTAGACTCCATCTCCCACAATGCACCGCTCCATTCTTCGTCGTCGAACAAAAACGCGGAAACAAAAGAAGTAATCAGTTTGTCAAAAACAAATATCACCGAGTCGGCACAAAGTAAGCGTAGTTGTAGCTGACAGCTGTCAAAGTTAGCACCGTAGCTCCTCCTAACCTCTCTGAAAGACTTGCCATGGCCTTGAAAAGAATACAGAAGGTGAGAATATCCGTCGTTTCTTAATTTATTTGATGTACTGAACAGGTTGGAGCGATGCGGAAATGTCGATGTAACGTTAGCGAGTCAGTCATGAAGTAGTAGCATGTTTGCTAACGTAACTGGCCGATTGATACCCGTATCGGCGTTTTGTATTCGTTTTCTTATCGCAAAATAAATCATTTATGACACAGCTTTTACTGTTAGTGAGTTATTTATGCCAGTGGCGATGTCTTTACACGGAATCCAGCTAGCTAAGCACTTGAACTTTTTTATTAACTAGCATTTTTCTTTAGCCTCGTTTTCTGTGACGGTATGCTGGATGTTGTCTCCTTGTGGCGGTCTTAGAAAGGTCGTGAACCGCGTAAATACCATTAACAACTATGGAATTAATCCCGTGACAACATCTGATGTGTTGTACAGTACTACAAATGGACTGGAGCTTTGTCAACAAACCTGAATCCACACCTAAAGCTAACTTCGCTACTAGCTAAATGGCCTAGAAAACTAGCAGTGACAAAGCACTTTAAGTTTTGTTTCTGGTTGCTGTTCAATTTGTTTTAGTTTTCCTCCGTTTTGGCGGAAAATTCGATGACGATTTAACAAAATTTAACCCTATCTTTTTGCCTTTTATGCGAGGCGCCGTCAAACTCTTCATTTTTGTGTTTATTTGCACAGGAGTTGACTGACTTACAGAAGGACCCTCCAGCTTCTTGTTCAGCTGGACCTGTAGGAGACGACTGTAAGTGTGGGAATGTCTAATGTCATCTGATTTTCTTCGATTTTACTCCCTAAATCTGCCACTCAAATTAGCATTGCTATGCCCTTGTAACTGTGTCGTAGTGTAGGCCTGATCCTTACTACTGTTATCACATATTATGTCTTTATCTCTGTTTCCTTTAGTGTTTCACTGGCAAGCTACCATCACGGGACCGGTGAGTTTTTTCTAGATTAGTTTCCTGGATTTTTTTTTTTTTTTTTTAAACCAAGCTGCTTCTGGATCCTTACACAATAGTGTTTTATGTTGACTTTACAGCCCCTTTCTCTTCTTTATGGACAGCACACACTGGCACACTCCATCCCACTGCTATTCACTGAAACCCATGGTATTATTGAGACACAACTATTAGTCGTATTTTAACAATAATTTACTCCTTTCATTTCAGACTGAGAGCCCATATCACGGAGGGGTGTTCTTCCTTTCTGTCCATTTCCCCACTGACTATCCCTTTAAACCACCTAAGGTGAGATTAGTTTTGAGACTGATTTGCTTAGAAGTACATCACCTTGTTATATTTTCTGCCTTTTATAGAGCAAGTGATGGATTCATACAGCCCTACTCAGACATCTATGGTGTTTTTGTGTCCTGTGACAGAAATCCAACCACCTTTACATTGTGTTCTGTTACCAATTGTTTTACAGGTTGCCTTTACGACGAAAATCTATCACCCAAACATAAACAGCAATGGTAGCATTTGCCTGGACATCTTGAGGTCGCAGTGGTCACCTGCACTTACAGTATCGAAAGGTAAGTAACATCTACATTGTGTAGAATTGAGTAGTACACTACAGCAGCAGAATGTAGGGTCTGGATTGTACCAGAGATTTACTTAAAAGTGATTTTTTTACGTGTTATTTGGAATAACAGTAAATTATGATGTTGGAGCAAAACATGACATGTAAGGGTTTTTCAGATATGGCTACAGAGCATTATGTCAGACAGAGTGAGGGCCCTTTGGTAAAGCAATCCCCCATCCTGTCACCAAACCTGGATTCTTCCAAGTCAATGATTTCTAGCCTCTAGGAACACAGCTAATAGGATTTTCAGGGTTGATTATCCAAAAAAAATGAACCTCTGCATCCTGTGTACTTTCATCACAAAATTGTGAAATTGCATGTTTTGTACTGTATAATTGGTGGAGCAAACATGGATGGGAGGCGGTGGGGTGTTGTTTAAATATCCGTGATGAAAGCAATGGCTGCAAATACACTTTTTGTAAGGACCTGAACTAACAAGATTTTGATATAAAGGTCGTTCATTTGTATTCAGCGGATACATTTGTACAATTAGAAACCTATTTGCATACTGATGTTTGGTCTTTTGTTCCCAGTTTTACTATCCATATGCTCCTTGCTATGTGACCCAAATCCAGATGATCCGCTCGTCCCCGACATCGCACACATCTACAAATCAGACAGACAAAAGTGAGTACGGAAGCCAAAGATTTTTTGACATGTGGATAAAACAAAAGCTTTTTTTAATCGGATTTTCTTTTTTCTTTTATTTTCTTTAGGTACGACAAAGTAGCCAGAGAATGGACCCAGCGATATGCAATGTGAAAGATTAGCATTTGAGCAACGACGATGCATCCCTGAACACCTCAGAATATGACAGTACTGTTCAACTGCTTTATCCACACTGGTTGAGGTGTTTGATACGCTTGAAGCACTTTCTCTACTCAGACTTTACTTGACTTAACTGTTTTTACAATTTGTTTTATTTTTTTCCCTTAAATTGGCATTATTATTATCATTATTATTATTATTAGATGCGGTGAGCTGGAATGATTGTATTTTTCTTTTAAGAGATTTCTATTGTACAAGCCTATACTGAATTTATTTTTCATTATTTTGCATTAAAAGCATTAAGCAAAAAGTGACTTGCAATTGTTTCTTGGTCATACTTATTAGTAAGCTGAATTTGTGAAATATCTTTGCTGGAAAATGTCTGGTTCAGTGCACACAGCAACAAAAAATGAGTGTAATTCCATCATGTATGTGACCACTAGGTGGCAGTCTTTACTTTTTACAGGCCAAGTCTTTTTTTTTTTTTTTTTTCAAAGGCAGTTTCTCTCATGGACAACTTAATATTCATGTTTGTGTTAGATTTAATTCAGGCCCATTTGCTCAATGGTTATTCATGTGGATAGTGGCTATTATAGTGTCTTGTAGTAGCAATGAAATGAAAATGAGAAGCGGTGTTCTGTAAATTGAAATTAGACCACCCATTATCTTCACCTCAGCTGGCTGCAGCACAGTCACTATATGCACGATACATGTAGGCACACAATAGAGCAGCTTTTGTCTACTTTTGAGAATTAAAAGCTCGCTATCCCAGCTAGCATTACAATATGTTACAATTGCTGTTTTCACAACATGCTTTCATTTTATAAAACACTTCAGACAACATGGCATAATTTCAATCTCAAAATCTGACATGGTGCACAGAACGAAAGTATCTCAACCAAACCAGATAGTAATTTTAGCAGCTTTGCAAAATAAACTAGTATTTATCTGGTTATACTTTCAAACTAACTGATTCTAACAGAACAGTTTTGGTTTATTTATAAAGATTAGATTGAGACAAAAATGTGCAGTTTATGCAGACATCGATGCGTGATCAAGTCTATTGTAAGAGATGACTTTAATAATGTGCAGTTTTTTACATCAAATACATAGTTTTACTGTAAATAGAGATGATATCTGACTTAAAGCTGCAGTGGAGGTCACATCATTACAACTGTAGTGTTTACTTTTTCTCTTCTGTTATCAACCACAAACTCACTTCTTAAGGCACAAAAACTTCCATTAATCAGTTGTGCGGCAAGTAAATATCCTGGACTGCCACTTGATGCGACTTGAGTTCAGTTAGTGCCTTGTTTTGGTCCGATAACACAGCTGCAACTCAGTATTCTACCAGGAGGACAGCAGAGTTGGTGATGATTAAAATTCTGACATTCAAGCTTTACCCTCGACAGATTGCAAGTTTAGGTGAAGAGCTCAGATGTCAAAACTCAGCTGCGTTTCCAGAAAAGCAGTTACTGTTTTTCTCTTTAAGATTACAATTAAGCTGTCAGGTAGTCAGTAATTTCTACCTTTAATCCCAGACTTCAGCATGATGAAAGTTTGCATTTCTAAACGAACACAAAATGGGCTGAGAAAAGTCACTGGCAACGCACTGTGGTTACCCTGCATTGTGATGAAAGCTCCAGCTGTCAGATTAAGGTTGTCACCGGGGGTTTTATTTGAGGGCTGTGACACGGCTGGCAAGTGAGACTCACACCTCACATTTATTTAAATATGAAAAATAACAGGATGCTGAAAATATCACCAGCCACAGGCCTGGAAAGTGCCTGTTGTGGAGGACGGATGAGTGAAAAACAACAGTGAAGAAATACAAAATGCATGCAATTACCAGCGAAAACAAGTGAAGCAAACACCATGAAAATAGAATATAAATACATTTAAGTGTCCCTGCATGCATTGCTGTGTGCAGTGACCTTTATCCAACCATATGGTTAATTTATTCTAGTGGGCGTTTTTTTTTTTTTTTTTCTTTTTTGGATCATGGCCCATTTTGGAGTCTAGTTTACTTTTACTGTGAGCTTTGTCTGGGTTTCTCTCCTCTTCTCAGGTTGTGTGGTTTTCCCTCTAGAACCTAATAAACAGATTCCCTAATAAGGGAGGGGGGAAAAAATGGCACAAAGAAATTCATTTTTACGCAAAGTTCCCTTCAATCGTTTATAGTGACTTTATTTTTATATCTTCTGGTATTGTAGTAAAATTCTGAACTCATAATAACTATGATTTGCTCGGATGTAATTGGCTGTTTAATCCCTTAACAGTTCCCCGGAAAGCAGCGCACTTACGAGCGTAAAACATAAATTAAATCCACAAAACAGTGAAGTTTGGATCCTCACAGGAACCCAGGGGGAGGTAGATGCTCGAAAAAGTTTCTGGGAGGAGTCCGACTTTTTTTTTTTTTTTTTTTTTCTTCCTTCTTCTTCTTTTTTTTTTCCTGCAGGATGACACGTGAAACTTTCCCGAGGAGTTGGTTGGTATGTTTGCTGTGTAGCTGCGCGGCGCTCCGTTAACTCGGCACACAACCTCCACCGAGTGGACCAGCGCGCTGCCGCCTATTTTTAGAAGTGTGCCTAATGGGGGAAAACGAAGGGGCTTGAAGAAAAAAGTGCAGAGGAAGGTCTCCACCGCGCTGCGATGAACTCGCCGAACACCTCGAAGTGACGGAATTTTAAGAAAGAAGTTCGAAGAAGAACGGCGCTTTGCTTCGCTTCAGCTCTTACCCAACTTCTAAAACAAAAAACGCAGTGGCCGCCGGAGAAGTCGCCGTGCTGCGCAATGGCTGCCCAGTGCGACACTTTAAGCGGATACTTGCAGCAGTCGGACCAGGGCTCCAACAGCGAGCGCAGCACCGATTCTCCTCTCCCGGGATCGGAGGAGGATCTGAGCGGCCCCCATCCGCTGCCAGACCCGGAGTGGACTGAGGAGAGGTTTCGCGTGGACCGCAAGAAGCTGGAAGTCATGTTATTAGGTAAAGAAAAGCCTCAGACTAAGTGATGTGATGCAGCGTTTCCACTAACTAGTCCCTTTCATCCAGTTTGTTTGAGTTGTTGCCTTGTTTTCGAGCAGCACACTTCACCTCAGCAGCTCTCCTCCAAACTTTTTGTTTGTTTTACGCATTAAACTTGCTGCCTTTGGTGACTAACATTTTCCTTGTTTGCAACGCTCACGTCGTGTGCGCGCGATCCGGAATGAATCAATTAAGCCAATTAAGTGGAGTCAATTAGGTCTGAGCTTCTAATTAGTGCCACCAAATTATGCACAGAAGGAAATAATAGCTGACCACTGACAGAAGCTGCAGCTGTGAGGACGTGAAAACTGCTTGAAACTTTTAACTCAAGCAGAAGGTCAAAGGAGTCAAAGACATGCCGAGTTAACCATCAGTGATGTGCCAGTGTTTTTTAACGCAGTAACGCGCCCTGACCACAAGCTGTCGCTGCACAAACTCCCATGGTGCCCATTTGTTTGTAGACTAAACTGAAATTGACCTGAACATGCAGTTTGTGTTCAGTTCTCAAAGAAAATAGGCAGCAGACAGCAACAACTGATGCAACAGCTTTTGCAGCAACAACAACCAAAAAGAAGCAGAACTTAAAAGTTAACATAGAAACAAGCTGTTATTCAGGCACGGGTTTAATTTTGCATATTAAAATGTCATCACTGTCTTTGATTCATTCTGCAGTGAAACATAACACCGTATGCCGGTGACGATAAAAAAACAAGCAAATCATCTGTCATGTTCACTTTTCCACTCCACTTTGGCCTTTGCTGCGTGTTTCGTATTGGCGATGAAATTGATTCATCGTGTGATTTCCAGTCTAATGACGTCCAAGCGACGGTGAGCTGTTAAAACAAGCAGTGACAGGCTTGTAAAAGGAGGCCAGGCCGGTCTCTGTTGAGAGGTCCCTGGAAACCCGAAAAAGGTTGAGGTCATTTATCACATATTTCAAAACACAAGAGTGTGGAATATTTGTGCATTAGGTAAGTGGGCTGGATTCTTTATCAGTTCCACAGGAAGGACAGTAAGTTGGACTGGAGAAGCTGCCAGGGAGAGGAACATTATCGGCTGTAATTGTAATCAAAACAAGGAGGATATTACGTGTGTCGACATTACCGATGAAGATGGCTTTAGTTTTTTTTTCATTGTAAATCAGTGAAAGCGGCTCATCAGTAATGTTTAAGTGGGGGCTAATCTGTGTGTTTTGGAAAGCGGCCGGGCTTGAATTATCCTGTGGCCTATACACAAAAGACGTATGCACGCACACATGGAGCTCCCCCTTGAGAATGTCCTGGTTGCTGCCTCGCCGCATTCCTCAAAGCTCCATGTCATCCCCAACTCTTCCAGGAAAACAACTTAACCAGAGGCCGGCCCTAAAGCCGAGTGTCCCGGACATACCATGTGCCACATCACGCAGTGTGTCTAAATGCGTCTGTTTGTGCATGTGCAGCTCTGTGTACGTTAACACATAATCTATCCAGTTCAGTTTGTCTGTTTGGTCTGTTATCGCTGCCAACATCTTGTTTCCCAATTGCTGCTTTATGACATCATGCCTGATCGTGTTGACATTGCGGCTGGGATGCAGAGTAGAGAGAACTGCCGTGCTCCAGCGTCTCCTGGTCTTTCTGTTCGGTTGTAGGTTCAGGTTTAGATCCGACATTATCTCAGCTGTGAAACTGCTTTAACCTTTGACCTCTGACCCCGTCGGAGGAATTCAGGAAGTCTGGTTTCAGGGTGCTCAGCTCCGTTATCTGACCTTACACAGTCCCGGCATGTATGGAGTTTTACAAGTGATGCATCGGCAGCTACAAAAGTCAAGCTTTAGATTAGTTTCGGCTCACTGGAGCAGATATTCTTGTCGTCTTTTGTGCCCTGTAGGTGTAAATTCAAACCCCAGTTAATGGCTCTTTCATCCAGTTCGGTCGGAGCTTTCTAACATCTGGCTGTGTTTTGATTGGAAAAGCTGTAGATTTTGATGTGGTACATCATGTTCTGAAGGCCAGAGTTTGGACCATAATGAAATAATTTTATGGGAACTCCAGTATATTTTTACCCAGTGTTTTATTGTCTGTGACAGTGTCTCTGGCTTGTGCTTTCCTGGAAAATGAAGTGTGCTGCTTGACCCTCAGGGGGGGAAAGAGCCGCCGGTCAAATCGAACTGTGATCACTTCCCAAACAACAATAGAAGCAACTTTTGACTAGATCCAGGTAATGTGTCTGTACTAGTTATGATAACAGATTGTATTTCAGGGGCAGATATGTTTTCTAACCCGAGCACTGATAAGTCTTTCTGCTGTGGAAACAGCACTGGCAGCCCTGTTAGGAATTGTTCTGTTAGTGGCTAATCTTTAAGGACACTGCTGAACGGTTTGAGGCTGAGAGAGATGAACACGAGCTCATTTGAAGTGTGTTTAACCATTTATTTTCCTCTTCATGAATACATTTTGAATTCAGAAATTTCACATATGCACATGCCTGAAAATGTTCCCTTTCCAAAATAGTTCTGAAGATTTTTTTTTAACCTATTATTATTATTTCAACCAATTCTCTCTGCATTTTATTTACTAATTGATTGATTGATATCATGAACAGACCACCTTAGTTTTTAAGGTACTGCATGACAAATTTGAGCGATTTTGGCGATTACATTGACAAGAATTTAAAGATATTTTCCTACAATTGTACAATTTCTACAATTTCATTTACCCTTTTATCCAAAGCGACGCACATCTGAGAGCAGATACAACACAAGCAAGGATCTAGTCAGAAAAAACAATCTGGATAAGTGTCATAGAACAAGTTCCAAGTGTGATAAGGAGTTGGTGGCAATAGCAGGCTGTGTGGGAGGTAAAAGGACATTTAAAAATGTTTTTTCCCCCAACGGTAAACCTGGACATAATCAGGATTTCCAGGTAGATCTTCACATTAGGACGTCAGACTGCTGAGAACCGTTTAGTTAATCAATTCTGGTGAATAAAAACGACCCAGAAGCTCTCTGCTCCCACTAAAAGATGTTTGTGACTCACCAGCGGAGTCTCCAAACCGAAGCAAAATCCCAGCGTACACACTTTAAAACTACTCTTTGGATCAACCGGGCTTTACTACCCCCCTGTTCTGGACCGATTTGCATCAGGAGAAAATGGAAATTATTAACTGCTCAGCAATTACAAATTTACTGTCTCTCCCATTGGCAGGGATGCAGGTTCCTTTCCTTAGATCAGTAAATAGAGTGTGAAGTGACAACAAAATCTCACCCTGACAGCTATCGGGGGTTTACTGTTGTACTCTTGGCACCCTGGAATAGAACTCCCCAGTTTATGGCTTAGAGACCGTAGCAGAGGCATGAAAGCTTGAAAGATAGTTTTATGTGTACAGGAGACAACTTTGGGCCGTTTCTTTTGCATTCATTATGAAGTTGGGAGAATGGGGACAAGTGTGGGAAAGAGGTAGCATTTTCTCTAACCCTGCTTTTCCAAATTGTCTGTATGTGCACCAAGCGTTTTATTTAGATGCATACATTACCGGTGTATTCTTCTAAAGAGCTCTGGCTGTAGGTTTCCTTCCTCAGACCGGCCATGATGACAGTTTAGTGGTGTTCGTCACCGAAGGCTCTTTCAGGCTCCTGGTGGGCCAGTGTGTGCACACACACATCCTAACAGCATGTTTGCTGAGTAACTGCAACAACAACCTACAATTAGGCTAAGTGAATCATTTTCTTCATTGAACTAATTTGTTTTCCTGCTCCTTAACCACACACTATTATTGGATAGCTTTGTTTCAGAATGGAAAATTCGTAGCGTATGGCCGAGGGGCGAGTACGGGGTTTTCACAGGTATTTTCAGTATTCAGCCATGATGTTGTTGGTGTTCTACAGTGTGTGTGCAGAGGATGCTGATGCTAAGCTTCATTTGTAGGCTGTGCACTAAATATGAAGTTTTCTGAGAAGGGAAACTGGCCGCTAGTAAAGATGTGGTTATTGTATTTTTCTTAATATCGTTTATAGAATTACTTACCCCCGTAACGAGGGGGGGAGTATGTGTGAGGGCCTCATCCTCCTCTTCCTCCTGGGTGCTGAGTAAGACTCGCAGACAGGAAGTGAGTGTCTTGTGGGGAATGTGCTGCAGGCTTTCTCTTTCTCTCGTTCTCCCCCTTTATTGCTCCCTCTTGAGTATTCAAACACTGCTCTGTTGTTCCAACTTTCATCAGATCCACTGTGGAGTTGTTGGATTTTCCAGGGTCTTTACCCGATGATCCAACACGCTCCTCGCTTTCGAACCTGAGCGAACCCAGGTGAAGATGTTTCTGAAAACACTCGGCGCATCAGAAGTTGTTGTGCAGCACAAACGTAGTCAAAAAGGAATATGTCCGTGGGGATGGTTTAGTAGTCGAGGGCAGACAAAATGTGACCTTCTGCCCTGATCCCAGACTATTTACAGTTTCCAAAAAATATGTCCAAATGTCCAAAAATAGTTGCATTTTGTAATCACTATAGCCATAAATGACATTTCGGTACAGTTTTGAGGTTGTTTAGATTTTCAGGTATTGCACTGTATGCTAACTAGTGCCATATTTGACAAGTCTAAAGTGAAAGTAAAGATGGTGAAACCTTGGAGCGAAACGGACTACCTTTGGACAAATCGCAATAAAGAGTGGAAAACAAAAGTCAGGGCCAGCACTGGAGGGGAAAATCCCTCTTTCATATCTAGATGTTAAAATCCTTTCTTCCTTCAGATGAGGTAGCCATCTGCTATTTGGAGATTTTGTGATCTTTAAACCAGATTCTATGTGTTATAGTTGTGAATGGGCCAAAGCAGCAAACGTTTTGTAGTTGTGGACCACATCAGTGGAGTCCACCATCAGGACAAAAAATGCATTAATTTCAGCAAAACAGAGGTACATTCACTTACAGATGTGTTTGATTTTTGCAGTGTAATAATCGCTCAGTGTGTTGGAACTTGGACTTGCAGGATAGA